AAAGAGTCCTCTCCTGCTGATGTTCAGGTGTATATCAGTATGTAGAGTCTCTACTTTAAAGAGTCCTCTCCTGCTGATGTTCAGGTGTATATCAGTATGTAGTGTCTCTACTTTAAAGAGTCCTCTCCTGCTGATGTTCAGGTGTATATCAGTATGTAGTGTCTCTACTTTAAAGAGTCCTCTCCTGATGATGTTCAGGTGTATATCAGTATGTGGTGTCTCTACTTTAAAGAGTCCTCTCCTGCTGATGTTCAGGTGTATATCAGTATGTAGTGTCTCTACTTTAAAGAGTCCTCTCCTGCTGATGTTCAGGTGTATATCAGTATGTAGTGTCTCTACTTTAAAGAGTCCTCTCCTGCTGATGTTCAGGTGTATATCAGTATGTAGTGTCTCTACTTTAAAGAGTCCTCTCCTGCTGATGTTCAGGTGTATATCAGTATGTAGTGTCTCTACTTTAAAGAGTCCTCTCCTGCTGATGTTCAGGTGTATATCAGTATGTAGTGTCTCTACTTTAAAGAGTCCTCTCCTGCTGATGTTCAGGTGTATATCAGTGTGTAGAGTCTCTACTTTAAAGAGTCCTCTCCTGCTGATGTTCAGGTGTATATCAGTATGTAGTGTCTCTACTTTAAAGAGTCCTCTCCTGCTGATGTTCAGGTGTATATCAGTATGTAGTGTCTCTACTTTAAAGAGTCCTCTCCTGCTGATGTTCAGGTGCATATCAGTATGTAGTGTCTCTACTTTAAAGAGTCCTCTCCTGATGATGTTCAGGTGTATATCAGTATGTAGAGTCTCTACTTTAAAGAGTCCTCTCCTGCTGATGTTCAGGTGTATATCAGTATGTAGTGTCTCTACTTTAAATAGTCCTCTCCTGCTGATGTTCAGGTGTATATCAGTATGTAGTGTCTCTACTTTAAAGAGTCCTCTCCTGCTGATGTTCAGGTGTATATCAGTATGTAGTGTCTCTACTTTAAAGAGTCCTCTCCTGCTGATGTTCAGGTGTATATCAGTATGTAGAGTCTCTACTTTAAAGAGTCCTCTCCTGCTGATGTTCAGGTGTATATCAGTATGTAGTGTCTCTACTTTAAAGAGTCCTCTCCTGCTGATGTTCAGGTGTATATCAGTATGTAGTGTCTCTACTTTAAAGAGTCCTCTCCTGCTGATGTTCAGGTGCATATCAGTATGTAGTGTCTCTACTTTAAAGAGTCCTCTCCTGCTGATGTTCAGGTGTATATCAGTATGTAGTGTCTCTACTTTAAAGAGTCCTCTCCTGCTGATGTTCAGGTGTATATCAGTATGTAGTGTCTCTACTTTAAAGAGTCCTCTCCTGCTGATGTTCAGGTGTATATCAGTATGTAGAGTCTCTACTTTAAAGAGTCCTCTCCTGCTGATGTTCAGGTGTATATCAGTATGTAGTGTCTCTACTTTAAAGAGTTCTCTCCTGCTGATGTTCAGGTGTATATCAGTATGTAGTGTCTCTACTTTAAAGAGTCCTCTCCTGCTGATGTTCAGGTGTATATCAGTATGTAGTGTCTCTACTTTAAAGAGTCCTCTCCTGCTGATGTTCAGGTGTATATCAGTATGTAGTGTCTCTACTTTAAAGAGTCCTCTCCTGCTGATGTTCAGGTGTATATCAGTATGTAGTGTCTCTACTTTAAAGAGTCCTCTCCTGATGATGTTCAGGTGTATATCAGTATGTAGTGTCTCTACTTTAAAGAGTCCTCTCCTGCTGATGTTCAGGTGTATATCAGTATGTAGTGTCTCTACTTTAAAGAGTCCTCTCCTGATGAAGTTCAGTGGCTTCAGGGTGAAACAAAATACATTTTGATGGCATGCAAGGTTTCGGGTTCATGACTAAATCAAAAGAAAGGGCAGCTGGACGTGACAACCGTCCAATGGGAGAAAGGCTGGCAGATATATAGAGATAGGGCAGATAGTGTACATTACAGTGCATAATAAAACAGCAGAATGTCTCAAAGCCATTAAAGCACAAATGTCATACATGTTTAACTTGTGCATGTTGTCCCTTTACATAAGAGTCAGCAACACACAGCTGAGAGGTGAAAGACAACGGTTTATTTAGACGAAATGATCTTATACAAAAAAAGATTCAAGATGTAAAGGCCTTAAATTGTTATATGCACATTACCTATGCTCCTGCAACATGCGAAAATAAACAAGAAAAACAACAGAAATAGTTTAATATTTCTCCATTTAAAGCATCAATACTGCATATAATAGATACAGTATCAGCGAGAGTTCAATTAAATACTGAACAGTTACATCTCAATACCCACAACATGACGTTGCTATGGTTATTGTGCATACTGGTGTGTAACGACATCCCTGTGTAGTACAGCACTTACTGTGTGTGTGTGTGTGCGTGTGTGTGTGTGCGCGTGCGCGTGCACGTGTGCATGTGTGTGTGTGCTTGTGTGTGGGTGTGTGTGTGTGTGCGTGCGTGCGTGCGTGCGTGTGCGTGTGCGTGTGTGTGTGTGTGTGTGTTCGATGCTAATGAGAGCAATAGATTGATGACGATGTCCATGGAAAGGTTTTCGTTAATGAGCTGCATCTTAATCAAAGTGGGGGAGAAACAAGAAGAATCCATGAGAGTTTACATTTTATTATGTTCACATTATCGTTGTGCAGGATGTCCTATTTCTGTGTTGGTCCCTGAAGGCAGCATCTCCCTGGTCCAATGGGATTCCTCCATGTGATTTTGGATTATTGCAGTAAATAATCTAAACGTTTATGATACTTCAGTTCATCTCCTGGAAAGTCATGTGTGCAAAACGACTGAATAAATGAGATTTAGGTTATTCTGAAAAAGTAGTTGTTATAGTTTTTAAAAACAGGCCTTATTTACTTCTTTATCCAATACTTTTTCCACTTTTTGATGGATTTGTTCACTTTGGAAACAGAGCGAGAAAAACAGATATTTCTCAGCGAACTAAAGGCTGATGAACTGATATACAAACGGTCATTTTTCCTGGTGTTTTATTCCTATAATGATGCTGGGAAAATGCAGAGATGTCAAAAGTACACACATCCTTTACTCAAGTAGAAGTAAAGAGGGCTCTGAAATGTCCTTCAGTAAAAAGTACCCATAACTAGCAGCTGTTTTAAAGAGTACCTGACCTCCCTTTATATTAATAGAACAATAATGTCATTGTTAGCTAATGAATGTTTCCATGCTGAACAACGGCAACATGACAACGTTTTCATTGGTCCCTCTTCTTTAGAGAAGACCAGGAAATGATGGATACACGGATCGTGTTCAAATCAATAGGCACGCAATGACTCTAAATAATAATGATCACGCCACCAAACACACATTCAAACTAAAGGAACCAGCCTGTTTGGGAAATGTGAGAAGTAGAAAGTACAGGTATTTGGGTTCAACATGTAAGAAGTAGAAAGTACAGGTATTTGGGTTCAACATGTAAGAAGTAGAAAGTACAGGTATTTGGGTTCAACATGTGAGAAGTAGAAAGTACAGGTATTTGGGTTCAACATGTAAGAAGTAGAAAGTACAGGTATTTGGGTTCAACATGTGAGAAGTAGAAAGTACAGGTATTTGGGTTCAACATGTAAGAAGTAGAAAGTACAGGTATTTGGGTTCAACATGTGAGAAGTAGAAAGTACAGGTATTTGAGTTCAACATGGAAGAAGTAGAAAGTACAGGTATTTGGGTTCAACATGTAAGAAGTAGAAAGTACAGGTATTTGGGTTCAACATGTAAGAAGTAGAAAGTAAAGGTATTTGGGTTCAACATGTAAGAAGTAGAAAGTACAGGTATTTGGGTTCAACATGTGAGAAGTAGAAAGTACAGGTATTTGAGTTCAACATGGAAGAAGTAGAAAGTACAGGTATTTGGGTTCAACATGTAAGAAGTAGAAAGTACAGGTATTTGTGTTCAACATGTAAGAAGTAGAAAGTACAGGTATTTGGGTTCAACATGTAAGAAGTAGAAAGTACAGGTATTTGGGTTCAACATGTAAGAAGTAGAAAGTACAGGTATTTGTGTTCAACATGTAAGAAGTAGAAAGTACAGGTATTTGTGTTCAACATGTAAGAAGTAGAAAGTGGTCAGAAAAATAAGTAGTGGAGTAAAGTACTGATACCAGCAGAAACATGTACTTGAGTACAGCAACGAAGTATTTGTACTCCACTACTTCCCACATCTGTGAAAAAGTATGTTTAACACAGAATAGTCGATGTAAATATTCAGTTTCCTCTTCCTCTCATCATCCTCCATGTTTGTTCTGTGTTTTTCAGGGACTCCGACACCGGGATGGAAAAAGAGGGCAGCGTCTATTTCTGAATCCGTTTTATTATGAAACTCCATTAAATCTCCTGTCCCCTCCTCTCTGAGCACACTTTCATTTTTCAGGATCGATCAATAGCAGCCTCTGAACCTTTGTCTTTTCCAGAGGTTTAAAGTAACTAAGTACATTTACCCAAGTACTTTACTTAAGTACAATTTTAAGGTCAATCATTATAAAACATATCATATATATTATTCTGAAATGGACCAATCTGCACAATGACTACTTTTACTGTCGCTACTTTCACTATATTTTGATGAGAATACTTTTCTACTTTCACTTGAGGAACATTTTGAATGCAGGACTTTTACTGAAACAGAGTATTCCTACACTCTGGTACTTCTACTTTTACTCAAGTACAAGACCTGAGTACTTCTACTTTTACTCAAGAACAAGATCTGAGTACTTCTACTTTTACTCAAGTACAAGATCTGAGTACTTCTACTTTTACTCAACTACAAGATCTGAGTACTTCTACTTTTACTTAAGAACAAGATCTGAGTACTTCTACTTTTACTCAAGTACAAGATCTGAGTACTTCTACTTTTACTCAAGAACAAGATCTGAGTACTTCTACTTTTACTCAAGTACAAGATCTGAGTACTTCTACTTTTACTCAAGTACAAGATCTGAATACTTCTACTTTTACTGAAGTACAAGATCTGAGTACTCGCCATGTCCAACGACAGCAGCCTCCTCGGCGTCTGGGAGGCCTCTGATTGGTCGGAAACGTCGCAGTGCCCGCCCTCTGTTGGCGGAGCCACTTTCCTGATCGTGGCGTACAGCGTTGTCATAGCGATAGGGTTGCTGGGCAACGCTGGACTGGTGTTCATCATCGCCCGGCAACAGGAGTTACGCAACGTCACCAACATCCTGATCGCCAACCTGTCGTGCTCCGACATCCTGATGTGTGTGGTGTGTCTGCCCGTCACCGTCATCTACACACTGATGGACCGCTGGGTGCTGGGGGAGGCGCTGTGTAAGGTCAGCACACACACACACACACACACACACACACACACACACACACACACACACACACACACACACACACACACACGCACACACACACACACACACACACACACACACACACGCACACACACACACACACATTGACTTACATGCATTTCCTGGAGACTTATCCTAACCTTAACCATAACCAAGTCTTCACCCTACAATTAATGATTCCCCTCATGTGACACACACACAGACACACACACAGACACACACACACACACACACACACACACACACAGACACACACACACACACACACACACCACACACACAGACACACACACACACACACACCACACACCAGACACACAACACACACACACACACACACACACAGACCCACCAGCACACACACACACACACCACACACACACACAGACCACACACAGAGACCACACACACACACACACACACACACACACACACACACCACACACACACACACACACACACACCACACACACACACACACACACACACACAGACCACACACACACACACACACACCACACACACACACACAGAGACACACACACACACACACACACACACAGACACACACAGACACCACACACACACACAGACACACACATACACACACACAGACACACACACACACACACACACACACACACACACCACAGACACACACAGAGACACACACACACACACATACACACACACACACACACACACAGCACACAAGACGACACACACACACACACAGACACACACACACACACACACACACAGACACACACACATACACACACACAGACACACACACACACACACACACACACACACATACACACACAGCACACACACCACACATACACACCACCACGACACACACACTACACACACACACACACACAGACACACAGACACACACACACACACACACACACACAGACACACCCACACACACAACACACACACACACACACAGACACACAGACACACACACACTAGTGTGTGTAGTTGAGGTCTACTAGAATAGATTCACATTGTTCAATGTTCCAAACTCACATTGGTTTCTCATACAGCATCTCTGTATAGTATGTGTATTCACTCTCTGTCCTACACGACTTGTTGGAGCTCCTGCCCCCCCCCCCTCTCTGTGAGCCCACTGTGCTCTGATTGGTCAGCTCGCCCACTCTGTTCTGATGAGTCCACCACCGTTACAGCGGAACATCAGTGATTATGTTTTACAATGGCGTTTGTTAACAACCAGAAAATGACACCAGTAATGACAAACAGATGAGAATGCTGCGTGGGGTCTGGGTGGCGGGACGTTGCGCTGCTGGAGCGGACAGTGTGAGCTGGCCATAGCCGCGGGAAGTAGGGGTGCTGGGGGTGCTGCAGAATCTGGAGAATCACAGAACGACCGCCCTTAATGTGTTTTTAAATGGCATCATGGAGCTGGCTTACTGGTGTCGTTTCCTGGTTGCTGCTTGGGGTCTGCGAGACAGCGAGACACAGCGAAACCCAGCCCGAGCGCGCACACACCCGCAGCCTGGCTGTGAGTCTGTGTGTGCTCAGGCCGAGCCTCGCCGCGTCTCGCCGTCTCAGGCTGAGAAATCCGCGGAGCTGCAGCTGAGAAAAGATTGAGTGTGTGTGTGTTTGTGTGTGTGAGGAAGTCCGTGGATTGGTCCAGCCGTTACGTCACTATACTCAGGAAGAAAAAAATGGAAAAAGAGAAATGTCCAACGTTGTTCTGGGGCAGCATAGACAGGTCTTCTCTGTGTTAGAGTTTTACTCTCTACAGGGTGTACTTTGAGGGTTTGTGACTCTGCAGACCGTTTACATGCAGAAAAACCTACATAACACAAGGGGACGGGTAAGAACCGGAAAAGCATGACATGGGAGCTTTAAGATGAGAAAGATTCTGAGAAAAAGTCATAAGTATCAGACAACGTATATATGTTCCCAGAGCCCTATCTTCCCTCAGTTCAGTATTCTGTTACCTCTCATCCAGTAACCTTTTCAACATGTTTCAACACAGAGAAACATGTCCACCTGTCTCCTGACTCTCTGTCCCAGGTGACTCCCTTCGTGCAGTGTGTCTCGGTGACGGTCTCTGTCTCCTCTCTGTCCCAGGTGACTCCCTTCGTGCAGTGTGTCTCGGTGACGGTGTCTGTGTTCTCGCTGGTTCTGATCGCTCTGGAGCGCCACCAGCTGATCCTCCATCCCACCGGCTGGTCCCCTGCAGCCGGACACTCCTACCTGGCTGTGGGCTTCACCTGGCTGCTGGCCGGCGTCATCTCCATCCCCTTCCTCTCCTTCAACATCCTCACCAACGACCCCTTCCAGAACATCAGCCTGCCTGCTAACCCCTTCAGGTGAGCCCACAGATTCAGGTGTATCTTAGTGTTAGAAACCTCTCACTGGTCCCCGGCTTGAGCTTCAACCTCAGGATCCATGTATGTGTGATCCTCTCCAGAATGGAAGTAGTCATCACATACAGAGCACGATAGGCAATAAACTGCTCTTACACTTCATAACAAACGAGGTAAAACAATTTATAATTCCCCAAGTATCAACAGCAACACTGTATATTTAAATATATATATATTGTATTTGTTGTACTTGTACGGACACTTGTGTGAGGTAATTACACGTTTCATGTTTTTTCCGCCTGCGTTGAAATGTAATCCCTCAGAAGCTTCTGTTGTCGGCCTTGAACAACGAGATAGTTTCTTATATTTGACTAAAGTCATTGATCAGAGCGCTGTTTCCACACTTGGCTGCTCCTGATTGGACGGGAAGTCGCTGCGTTTGACTGGCTGAGCAGAGAGAGATCTGAGGAACACCACAGGGTTTTAATTGGACATCTTTCACAACATGGGTCACTGAATACTGAAGGTTTCTGGACTCATCATCAGTCACAGCTTCAGACCCATGATCTAATGTCTCTGAGAGCTTCATGGACCCCACAGAGGGGGGTGTGACCTTTAGGTACGATGAATGTGTGAAGGACTGTTTCTCAAAGTGAGGACCTTTTGTGGGAATGTCAGGATTTCATTAATGAACTCGTTTCAGACTCCGGTTCAATGCGTACACAATATTCACTTTTTTCTTTACTGACTGAAATGCAATATAATTAACGGGTAGTGTGCAGAGAGGGGGTCATTAAGCTCTATATCATCATTATTACTTATGTACTATTTACTAAAGTACTCAGATCCTGTGCTTCGGTAAAAGTAGAAGTACTCAGATCTTGTACTTGAGTAAAAGTAGAAGTACTCAGATCTTGTACTTGAGTAAAAGTAGAAGTACTCAGATCGTGTACTTGAGTAAAAGTAGAAGTACTCAGATCTTGTACTTGAGTAAAAGTAGAAGTACTCAGATCTTGTACTTCAGTAAAAGTAGAAGTACTCAGGTCTTGTACTTGAGTAAAAGTAGAAGTACTCAGATCTTGTACTTGAGTAAAAGTAGAAGTACTCAGATCGTGTACTTGAGTAAAAGTAGAAGTACTCAGATCTTGTACTTGAGTAAAAGTAGAAGTACTCAGATCTTGTACTTCAGTAAAAGTAGAAGTACTCAGGTCTTGTACTTGAGTAAAAGTAGAAGTACTCAGATCTTGTACTTGAGTAAAAGTAGAAGTACTCAGATCTTGTACTTGAGTAAAAGTAGAAGTACTCAGATCTTGTACTTGAGTAAAAGTAGAAGTACTCAGATCTTGTACTTGAGTAAAAGTAGAAGTACCAGAGTGTAGGAATACTCTGTTACAGTAAAAGTCCTTCATTCAAAATGTTCCTCAAGTAAAAGTAGAAAAGTATTCTCATCAAAATATAGTTAAAGTAGCGACAGTAAAAGTAGTCATTGTGCAGATTGGTCCATTTCAGAATAATATATATGATATGTTTTATAATGATTGATCATGAAAGTGTTCTCAAAGCTGGTAAAGGAGCAGCTAGTTTGAATGACTTTGTATACTGCAGGGTAGCTTGTGGATTTACTCCAGGTGGAACTAAAGTCTGATTTAACACTTGATTAGATTTCACATCAGTCATCCACATCTGTGAAGTAACTAAAGGGATTAAATACATGTAGTGGAGGAAAAGTACACCATTTACCTCTGAACTGTAGTGGAGTATAAGTACCCCCTCTCTCTCTCCTCAGGGACCATGTGATCTGCACACACTAACCCCCCCCCCCCCCCCTCTCTCTCTCTCCTCAGGGACCATGTGATCTGCACACACTAACCCCCCCCCCCCCCCCCCCCCTCTCTCTCTCTCCTCAGGGACCATGTGATCTGCATGGAGCTCTGGCCCTCAGACCAGCACCGGCTCCTCTACACCACCTCTCTGCTGATCTTCCAGTACGGCCTGCCTCTGCTGCTGGTGCTGCTCTGCTACCTGAGGATCTTCCTCCGCCTGAGGAGACGCAGGTCTGTCCAGCTGTCTTTAATAACAACACGCATCTTTCTCCTCCTGAGGCCACCTGATGAGATAAAGGTCTTTATTCCACCTTCATCTCACTGAGCAGTGATTCAAGATTCAAGGCTTTTATTGTCATTTGCACATTAGCTACAGTGGAGATATATCAATGACATCTTAGGTCACAGGCTCCTCCAACGGTTCAACACAATAAAACAGAGAGAATAGTTAAAATAGTGCAAGTAGTACAAATGAAATAGAACAGTGTCACAGGATGTTTGTCTTACTATATCCAGATTCTACAGACTGTTTAAAGGTGGGGTATACGTTGAGAAACCGGCTCGAGATCGCTAGAATTTGAAAATACACAACCGGAGAAAATCTGCCACTTCCTCACAGAGCCCCTCCTCCAACACACACGAACGCGCACATGACCAATGAGGGCACGAGATAAGTTTGTGCACAGATGGAAGGCTGACAGGCAGGTAGGCCATCCAGTTATTTTAGCCGGGCCGGCTCAGATGATTGGTCGTACTTTTTACAGTACTACAGCTTCCACAGATGATATTTATTTATGTATTTTTTGTCAAAGCACTTCAGATATTCATTGCTATCTGGATGTTAAGAGCATTCCATGGAATATAACAACAAGTGTATCTCGAGCCGGTTTCTCAAACTTACCTACCCCACCTTTAAGTTTGATCCAGCCCAACTGCATCTGAATACAGTTCAGAAATGCTACTGTAAACAAAATAAGAGAAACCTATTATATCAGCTAAAGTCTCAGGATGTTGGTCTTACTATATCAAGATACAGAAGCACTGAGAGGCATTGAGACAAACACTTTGTTTGTTAAGGTACATATTTTGTAATGTAATAACCGTGCACAATGTTCTAATTAGGACTAAGCTATCATACCAACAGATTACAAAGTCATAAACACAGTGAAGCTCAAATTGGACCCAAAAAGATCATGCAGAACCAACATGGCAGCAGTTTGGTCCCTGCATCTGAATACAGTTCAGACATGTGAGAATGTAAACAAAGTAAGAAAAACCTATATATGATATCAGCTAAAGTCAGGGTGGTAGCAGACATTTGGTTAAGCTGTCCTACATGCAGCTTTCTCCTCCTGGAAACACAAATCAGATCCAGCCCAACCGGGTTATAAAACACAGGAGAGGAAACTATTTTTATCAGACTAGAAAATAGATCAACAGAATAGTTTTTCCCTCATTTGCTTCTCAGGGCTCCCCGAACACCAGTCCTTTAGGCGCTCTATTTATATTTATATTCCCCAGCATTGAGCCGGGGGTTCAGTTTGGATTCAGAAGATTGACACCAGGCTTCCTGCAGAGCGGAAATGTACATTTGTTACAGCAGAAAAGCTCAATGTTACCTAAGAAGCATGCATCAAATATATATGTATAGATATGCATTGTGCCGGGGGTTCAGCGTGGTATTTCAGAAGCTTGACCCCAGACCTCCTGCTGTGTTTCAGGGACATGTTGGATCACAGCCGCAGGACTCAGAGCGCTCACAGGATCAACGTCATGCTGCTCTGCATCGTGGTGGCCTTCGCTCTGTGCTGGCTGCCGCTCACCGTCTTCAACACTCTGTTCGACTGGCACCACCAGGCGCTCCCCGACTGCCAGCACAACGCCGTGTTCTCCGCCTGCCACCTCACGGCCATGGCCTCCACCTGCATCAACCCCGTGGTGTACGGCTTCCTCAACAGCAACTTCCAGAGGGAGCTGAAGGCGACGCTGCAGCGCTGCCGGTGTGGAGGCGGACCGGCCGAGATCTACGAGAGTTTCCCTCTTTCCACGGTGGGCAGCGAGGGCACGACTAAAAACACGTCCATGAACAGGATGGGGTCCGTGTGCGTGCTGTCGCCAAAACTCGAGATCAGTTCGGCTGTACGGGACAAAACAATACCGGCTAACACCTGAGGAAGAAGTTTGGCTGACACCTGAAATACTACGTTACTGTTCATAACTTTGCCGGCAGATTGAAACTGCACTCCAGCCGGTTGTTGGGCATATTGAGGTCGACTGATGTAGCTTTACAAAAGACAGGTACATAATCGTGTAAATGGACTCTGTTGAGGGACAAAAGAGCTGCAAGAACGGTCTGTTCGCTAAGCCCCGCCCCCCTTTTGGTAACCCTTGCTATAGCAACGATAACACCTGAGAGAGCAGTTTGGTTGAAACCTGAAATACTATATAATACTACTTATATAATATAACTTTACCGGCAGATTTAAACCTAACTCCGGCCGGTTGTTGGTCGGATTGTGGTCGACTGTTATAACTTTACTTACAACAGGTAAGAAAGGTACATAATCGTGTATTTCTTTTTATAATGAGCAGCGATAACACTTGAGAAAGCAGTTATGTTGACAGCTGAAATACCACTTCAACTTTACTGTGCATAACTTTACCGGTAGATTGTAATTCACTCCGGCCGGCTGTTGGACTCGACTGATGTAGCTTTGCTTAGAAAATACAGGTACATAATCGTTTAAATGGATTCTGTTGATGGACAAGGAGAGAAAAAACCAAAAAAGCTGAAAGAACAGAATGATCGCTAAGCCCCGCCCCCTTTGGTAACCATTAGCCGCTTTCACACCAAGTACTTTGCCATACTTAGTGCCCAGCACTTTGCCATACTTAGTGCCCAGCACTTAGTGCCCAGCACTTAGTGCCCAGCACTTAGTTCCCCCATGGAACTAAAGCAGATCGCGTTCACACCGGAATAAGTTCCCTGAGGGAGGATTACGCAAATGAAGCCGCTGACGTCACTTCTTCTTCTTCTTCTGCTTTGGGTTTACTGGCAGGCCGCAAACAACTTCACGGCGTATACTGCCACCCGAAGTCCCCGGCCGGAAGTCCCCGGAGTTGGGGAATGGCTTCAGTAGAAGCTGCTGGGACTCCCAGAAGCTTCTACTGAAGCCTTCAGAGTAAATCGCCAGAACGCCGACACCTCCTCATCTCCACCGCTCCCATGTTTTATTTTGTGTTGCCATAAGTTATTCTTCTCTCCGTTGGTGCGTGGGGCGAATGCTAATGCTAATAATGCTAATGCCAGCAAATAAAATGGCGGCTTCAGAAAACTTTTCAGAGTTTTACGGGGGCGTGGTTTGCAATTCGCCCAGCCAATAAGAAATTGGAACTTTTTCTCCCCAGGATAGTCCCACCTCTCTAGTACCTCATTCACACCAACGCAACTCCGGTTCTAGCTCCGTGCTAGAGCTTTTCAGGTTCAGAACCGGTTCTTCGGTTTAGCTCCGGCTCTTTTCACACCGCCCAGAGTCCGACTGGTGCTGCGTCATTGCGTCATCGTTTGCGTCATGACGTAACCGTTTGCGTGCCTGCTTCCTAAAGCCAAACCGCGCGGAAACCCCTCACAGCTCACACCGTCAACAACAACAATGGCCGATTGTGTTGAAGCGCTACTCGTTTTGGTTTTGCTCTGTCGAAACGAAATGGAAGAAATGGGACGACTTTACTGCCAACTTTACAGTCGTTACACGCTACATTCAAAACTACTTCACAATCGTAATCATCAACTTCAACGACGATTCCGATTCCCCCCCGCCTCGACGTAAGCGTGATGTATGCGGTGCTTTTGCTCTAGCCAGACAATTTTTTGGTGCTTGAAACAAACCGGATCCGGAGCTAAGAGGCTGCGGTGTGAACAGGAACACCCTCCAGCTCCGAACCGGCCCTGAAACACCGTTGGTGAGAATGAGGTCTAGCAGGCACTAACAATGGGGGTAAAGGTTCTCGGAACTCAGTTCTCTTTTTGGTGTGAACGCAAAATTCCAGGCACTAACGGAACTAAACGGGAAAAGTACTCAGGTGTGAAAGCGCCTAATGAAACATGGTACTCTGATTAGGTTCCTGACCAAGTTCTGTAACACATAGTTAGTAATCGTACAGGAATACATTTAAGAAATCCTCCCAACCCGGATCTAAACCATGTTGAAGGTCCTAAATGTGTACTTGATATTGTGCTAAAAGACAGATCCCAGGAAAACATAAGGAAAATAAATTGAGTTTGTTCTTGTTTTGCATTTGATTGAGTTAGCTGTGGTATTACAGTGTGACAAGAATATGGTATAAAACTGTATTATAAGGTAATATACAGAAAAGGATGTGTTATTGTCTGCTAATGAAACCCTGTTGGGATGCTAACTGTAGACACACGTACTTCACCACATACTTTCGGGTTGAATAATAAAGATTTTGGGGCAAAAATAACGCCATCTCTGGAAAGAAAATGTCATCCGCTCCATCACATGTGTTTGAACTGTGATTCTTCAAACTGTAAATGGTCATTATGATGGTGATAGTATTTAGAAAGTGTGGTGGAGATTATCAATGGAAGTAAATGGGGGTTCTGAACATTGTTATAGAACTCATTGAGTATAGAAAGCTCTCATTAAACACCATATGAATGCATTTAGAAACAGTGTTCATATTGTCGATGCCACTCAGCCTTACTTTTCTCTGGATGAGATCAAACTGTAGGAATGTTTTACAAACTGAGGACGTTTTGTATCAGATTGTGAACTAAAAGAAGTGGATTTTAAATAATAGGTGACCTTTAACTTCCCCTTCTTTTACTGTGTCTCCAATTCTAACGTTTCCATTGCTCCATCTTTTAAATAAGGCGTATCCTCCATTCACATTATACATTTGTATTCAATAAACAGCAACGAAATGACCCTTCATCACATCATTTTCCATTTGGCTGTACTGAAGTAGAACACAGATTGTATTTAACTTTAATAAACAGGGGGAACATCTTGGAGTTTCTCCATTTTCTACTTTTCTGCTGAATTCTCTGTAAAGATTGTCGGTTCATTGTCAATAAAACAAGCGTGTGAAAAACCTCCGAACTCCAGTAATAACTCACATTTCTCACAACTCCCACCAGCTGGCTCTGTTATGTTTTAAATACTTTTCAGTCAACAGAAGTATCAAGGTACCCATTTTCAAATATATTCCACACAAAAATGCCTTTGATTTTATTTCATTGCAACTTTATTGGACCATTTCAGCACATTTTACTTTCCTTTTCGTAGCTGTTTTCCTTCCCCAAGTCAGCATGTCTGAGGATTCTCTCTCGGTTATAGAGGATAAATATAAATATATCACTATCAACTAGGGCTTTACGATATATCGCGTCGTGGCGATAATCGCGATATGCGCATGCGCGATACTCACATTGCAGGACGTGCGATATTAAGTTGGCAAATGAACTCAAACACGTCGTGTTACAATTCTTTTGCTGCTTGCTACAAAAGGAAAACTGGCGCGGCTCTCATGTCAGGGGTCCTTGAGTGAGTGACAGCAAACCACCAATCACAATCAACTCTCCAAAGCAAACGGACCAAGTGATTTAAAGGGGACCTATCATGCAAAATGCACTTTTGTACGTCTTTTCTACATGAATATGTGTCCCCGGTGTTCCAGGGAACTCACCAAGTGTCAGAAAACACAACCCTCTCTATTTTCCTCCATACCCAAATCTCTAAAAAAGGGGCTGCAACGGATCTGATAAAAACTGATCCAGATTTGAACACTGTCCTGACGTCAGGACGGTGGCGCTTCGGCTATTGGGCCAACTCCACCAATCAGGAGGAGACAGCCACGGCCATTGCCGTTCGAAAGCGCTGGAGACGCTGTAGTACATATGCCAGGCCAGTAGATGGTGCTGTTCTCACAGAATCAGCCCTTGCTAAAACAGAGCTAGAAAATGTCAAATTGAGCAAAATGAGGCATGGCTAAAATGCATGATCTGTTTGGTATTTTGAAAAAAAAAAAGTATAAATATGCCTTATATAGGTATGGCCCTACACTATATTATTACAATATAGCATGATAGGTCCACTTTAAGGTAAAAACAGTGAATAAAGTAGTTTCATGTGTTTCTCCAGTTCGGCGCTGCTAACCGAGATAGCTCTGCTTGTTGCTCTGATAACTTAAGATCCAGACGTCCGTGACTAAAATCCTTCTTCCGATTAAATATAGCTAGAAAAATACCAATTGTATAGCATTAAAGTTCAAGAAACGATGGTTTGCAGACAAAAAAAACTGTCTTTTCTTCAATTCCTGTATTTTTTCATATCGCATTATATATCGCAGGGGGAAGAAATATCGCAATGTCAGTTTTTTCCAATATCGTGCAGCCCTACTATCAACTATACTATAATCCCCCTATAGGGGTCTTATTTAAAGGGATACAAGCTATATCTATTTCTGAGGGTTTCTTGAAGTGTCGTCTTTCTGAAATCTGAAATCTGTTATTTTCCGTTTTTCCTTTCTCACCTCGGCACGTCTAATCATTTCCTCCGGGTTAAAGGCCACACATTTTAACCCCCCTTTAGTGTCACTACTAGACCCCCCAAACAGACAAATGCAAAACAACTGCAGAGCAAAGTCAACTATTCAAATACAAGTTCCAGAAGGACCTACAGTACACATTACATTTTAAAGGCAACAACAAACCAGTAACTTGATATCTGTATTAATGAAAAAAAGAATCGCGGTATTCTTTTTGGGGTTTTTATTGGTTATGAAGGAGGTGCAGAATCTATAATGTCAGTGTTTACCAGAGTGATTTATCACCGCTATCTTCCTGTAGATGACGATAGAAATCAGTGTGAATTTGAAGAACTGGATATTTTATGGATCTGTATTTTGTTTTAATAGTTGATTGTGTTTCTTTCCACGGACTGCAGATGGAAGCAAGTGTTCAGCTTTAATCTCTTCTCTTTCAGATGAATGTATTTTTATGCACGGTCCTTGTTCGAGCCAGTATTTCGTTTTTATAAGAAAGGCCACCTAATCGTGACGTCTGTAGTCAACACGGTGTAAAAGACTACAATTCCCACGTGACAGTGATGGGCAACCTGTCAGAAAGACGCAGTCGAGGCACAGTTTTTAACCGTTCAACTACCCTTTAAGTGATCAAGTTATATAAGCCTTCACATAGAAAGAAAGCGAGAAAGAATACCTCCGTTTTCTATTATTTTATTTGAGTTTTGCCTCTTGTGTTTGATTTGTTTTGACTACTGTAACGGCCGGTTTCCTTTGTTACCTGTGTCAAAAGTTTGGTATTTTATTTTGAGCAAACCCACTGCCTGCATAACATCATCCAAACCATCGGAGGCAAAGCAACTCGTCCAATGTGAATAAAACAAATATCAAGGGAAGAAAACGAGTTGGAAATGTCCGTTAAAGGCTTCTATTGCCTGATGGACAATAAGGAAGGGAGCCACGACGGTCCTTGTTCAATAAAGACGTCTAATAACCCTGATGAAGGAGAGGCAGACTGAGCAGGTGTTGGCAGGAGGAAAAGCTTCACAGGTGAGTTCTCCTCCGTCAGGACAGATGTTCACAACAGCAGCTGAGCTCTCTTCAGGGAGCTAATGACCATTAGCACGTTAGCGCTACGTCATCGAGGGGATCGTAGTCACTAACGAGCCCCA